TTATTCCAGCTCGCAGGACTGGCCTAGGGTAATTTTTAGAGGGGTTTTAATCAATATTTTAAATTGGACAATCTTTAATATTTCTTTTAATTAATTTTAAACCTGTATTGTCATTTATGTATTTTAATTGATTGTCAGCCGCCCTGAGTCCTACGAGGAGAAGGGCGGGATATAAATCTAAATAATAAATAAATAAATATTTGCATGAACATGGATGCAAACAAAATTCTAAATTAATGTGAGGAGGAAATATTCTGGCATCCAAAGGCATTAAGACATTGATTTGGTTTTGTTATATGTTATATTAGACATTCAAGTGGGGGGGGAGAGATATTCATTCATTGGGACAGTACATACTGATCTCAACCATATCTGGAGCCTTGATAAAGCTTTTATCATATTTAAACAGCCCTGGCTCTTTTTAGTCAAAATCCTTTATGGGTTTTCTGACAAGATGCTGTCAGTTCCTGCCAACAGTTAGAAGAAAGAATCTACAAGCCAGCATTTCAGTGAACTTCTCTGTGTTTGGAATGCACAGAAAAGTTGAGGACTTCTCTTTTCTATTCAGGGGTCAACAAACACAATCTGTGGTTGGATTATATGCTGTGGTTGCCCAAAGGCACTTAACTTTAGTAAAATGGTTTAGTCAAACATGGTCAATGTGAATCTTTTAGAACTGGGAACAAGGTGGTGCCCTGCATTTCAAGCTGATACATTGGTATTTATTGTGGAGGAGTTGCTGCCTAATGACTCCCCCTCGTCATAGGGGTCACCATGGAAACAGCTCAGCAGGTAGTCTACCCTTTTAAGGCCCTGTTTCTGATAGATTCGGACAGTTGTCAAGTTGCAGACATACAAGATTCAGGAAGAAGTAGGATATTGCTATGTGTGATTGGAAAAGTAGCTAAGGGGCAGAGCAATACAAAATTACATGAGGTGGCACGTTGACATTCTCGTTTTTATCTTAAAGCAGAGGTTTTGATTGAAGTAGTGCTATATGAATAAGGTTTAACGTCCCTCCCATATGGCATTTCAGATATTCAGACAGAGCTACCATCATTCTTGCCCCACTCAGAGAAAGTACTGTTGTCATAGTGATAGCAGCACAATTGATACGGGTTTGGCCTTCAAGAAAAAAAAGTATTTAGGCCCTTTTTTTCTCAACCTGATGTGCCATAAAGACCTAAACCCATTTGATGCCTTTAAATTGGGAATGATTGGCTTAGACCTAATTTAAATAGGATATCTTAGTCATTGTAATGTACTTTTCCTGTCAATTGCCCATAACCTTTATAGAATAATATTTAAATTTTGTCTTGCAGAAGACCTTACAGTAATGGCCAAAATTGTGGAAACCTTTTGGAAAAAGTGTACATTTGAGGTTTGATGGCTAATAACACCACTTTTTTTGGAGTAGTACCATAAAAGTATATATCAATGGAAAGATAATTTAATCAAGAATGTAATGCAATAACTTTTATGAAGCATTTGATATTGGAATAGCAGTTATAAGAAAGAAAAGTGAAACACGTAGAAAAAATGAGATATACAAAAATTATCACCATAGAAAAAATGAGATATACAACAATTATCACCACGTCAGTTAATACTTAGTTGGGTAACCTTTAGCATGAATTACGGCCTTACAATGTCTTCCCATGGAGTGAACCAAGTCCTTTAGTTCTGCAGCTGTTATAATGAGAAACCAAGATTGAATGATTGCTTCTATTAACTGGGTTTTATTGCTGGGTCACTTCTGACTAACAAGTTTCTTTAGTCGGCTCCATAGATTTTCAATTGGGTTAAGGTCTGGGCTATTCCTAAGCCATTCCAGCAGTGGAATATGATTATCTTGAAACCACTTTTTGCACATAGCAGCAACATAACATGGAGCTGAATCCTGTTGAAATATAAATGCTTCATTGTCTTGGAAAAGATCATGTGCGGAAGGCTTCAGTTTGGGCTCAAGTATTTCATTAATGTATTTTTGGCCATTTATATTCCCATTAATCACACAAATTCCGTCCACACCTTTTGATGTCATACAACTCCAGATCATAACACTGACTGGGTGTTTCACGGTACATGTAATGCAATTAGGATGCAGATCTCTGATTCTTCTCCTTACGTATTTTATGCCATTGCTACCAAACAGGGAGATCTTGGCCTCATCACTCCAAGTAACACTGCCCCATTGTTCCTCTGTCCAGGTAACATGGGTTTTAGCCCAGTTTAGTATTTTCAACCTTCGTTTGAGAGATAAAAGTGGCTTTTTTCATGGAATTCTAGATTTTAGGCCAAATTCCTGCAGTCTGCGCCGAACAGTCTTTGCACTCAACTTCACATTGCATTGCGCCATTTCATCTTGTAAATAATAATAATAATAATAATAATAATAATAATAATAATAATAATAATAAGAAGAAGAAGAAGAAGAAGAAGAAGAAGAAGAAGAAGAAGAAGAAGAAGAAGAAGAAGAAGAAGAAGAAGAAGAAGTAGTAGTAGTAGTAGTAGTAGTAGTAGTAGTAGTAGTAGTAGTAGTAGTAGTAGTAGTAGTAGTTGGAAGGGACCTTGGAGGTCATCGAGTCCAACCCCCTGCCCAGGCAGGAACCCTACACCATTTCAGACAAACGGCTGTCCAGTCTCTTCTTAAAAACTTTCAGTGTTGGAGCATTCACCACTTCTGGAGGCAGGTTGTTCCATTGGTTAATTGTTCTAACTGATTTTCTTCACTCAAATGTACACTTTTCCCAAAAGGTTTCTACAATTTTGGCCACTCCTGTATAGTTTCTAAAATATATTTACAACATTTATTTTGGCTTTAAATAACTTTGCCCTATGTTTTCTATTTTTCAAATTCTTTGTGGAATAACTTCCTAAATTCTTATTCTTGCTCAGTTTAGATCTTTGGATTAAACATGTAACACTGGGCTGGCTGACTCTTCTTTATCTTTCCATCCCCAGTGCCTTTTTTCAGAAATCTTATCAAAACATTTTCTGCATTATGTGGGAAAAACATCTTCCTTATTGCTTAGCATCAATATACAGGTGATTATGAGTATGCAAAGAACAAAATGCCGGGATATTAATTTTTTCTTCGGTGTAATTTTATCACTGGCAGTGTCATGGTAGTTATAAGGCATAGACTCAAAATGGTCTTCAGAGAACTCACCTTAAAGTACAAGGGCTTACTAAAAAACAAAAACAAAAAATGCCTCTGAACACAGCCCTCTTTTCCATAGCAGGGAATGCTTTTTGCTCTGAAGCTTCATTTAAAACAAACCATACTCTTTTTTCATTCAGAACTCTGGCTATTCTTCTATAGTTCAATGATAAATTAATGAATTCATGGAATGAAGCTAATAACTATTTGCATATTAAATCAGGCAGCAATTGTAAAAAAAAATATTCTAAAAGCTGGATGATAATCTGTTGGTACTACAATAAATGTGAAGTGAGTCTGATTAACTTCTAAGAAGCACTGATATTCTTAGTCCAGTAAAACATGTAGACTAATAAAAATCGGAAGTGTTCTAGTTTCATGCTTGGCAGGATAACAGAGTAGTGCAGCCAACTCTTCTAATAATGGTCATTCATGATATTCGTGTTAGCCTGTATGTTGTACTGCAGTGAAGCAGACAGACACACACATATACACACACACAAATTTAGAACAGGGGGCCCTTTGGATGCCTTTGGAGTGTGCTGATCTGAATAGATCCATTTTTCAAAGCACTCAGCTTTCCCTACTGAGGCAAATAGAGGGCATTTCCTCTTTGCTTGGATAAGAGCACCTCTTGAAACTGTAGACTGGGCTTTTCATTTGCTCGCTGGATAGGGAGAGGACAGAACCTTAAAGGCACTTTGCATTGTTCATACTTTTTTTCGTAAGGTTTTGATATTCTAGTAGCCAGAATAAAATCTACCTTTAAATCTACCTATGTAGATATTTGAGAGAAAAGAATTAACAGAATCATTTTATATCTGTCCTTTTAAAAGAGAGAAGATGAGTGAATCCAGTGCAAAATCAAGCCAGGCCCTGTCTGGTAAACAAGACAAGGATGTTTCAGAGAAGAGAGGACGAGGTCGGCCCAGGAAGCAACCCAAGGTTTGTACAGTATTCAACTTCCCTCATGTTATTAGGGGAAGCTTCTGCAAGATGTACTATGAATCTTGCTGGTTATTGCTTAAAGCAACTGGAGTCATAGTAAAAGGGAAATACAAAGGACTATTATTATGGTGCAACCAAAGCTATTGATGATACACAATGAAAGTTAAACATCAGTAGGTCATTTACTGTGCATACTTAATGAAAGAAACTCCTCTGGGAATCAGGGCATCTTGCTTTATGATGCTGGCAGTAATTGTGACAGTCTAACTCCTTTGTTTCTGGGACAAACACAGTTCTGTAGAGGAGTACTGAAGCAAATTCTGAATCTCTGCTATTTTCATAATTTGCAAGTATCAAAATATTTTTCTTCCTAAAGTATCTAGAAAGTACTTTAGTAGCCCCCAAAATAGTTTAGGCTGTCTTCAATGAATGCAGTATCCTGGTAGGAGAGTAGTTCAGCCTTAGAATAGCTTATTTTGATCCCAGAAAGAATGCAATTTCCCTCTAGAGATTTATTTCAGCTTAAAATGTTGAAAGTTTGAGAACTCTTTAGAATTGTCTGCAATATTGTCATCTGTAATATGATCAGAGTTTCAACTAAGTCATATTAATAAGTAGAGGTTCTAAAGCAGTTAATACAGTATATTGAACACACTGAGCAAACATTATTGTGTTTCTAAAGAGTTCACATATTTTATCTCACTACTATAGATGTTTATAATATGATTCAATAGAAGATTTTGATAGGGAATCACTTCACCATTCCTGGAACTTCAATCTCTGTCCTGATCTTTTTGCTCTGAGTTTTCCTCAGAGACATAAGTATTTATCCAATATAGTTAAGTATAGTTTTGATTTTGGATGACAGCTTCATGGTATGTTATCTATTTTACCAGAAGCAAATATATATGCCATTATTGTCTATCTAAACTGGAATGATCTTGCTTGTGAAGTAAGGGAGCCATAAATTCATCTCCCAATTTTACGGAGCATCACATGAGGCTCTCTAGTGACAGTGACGTCATTGAACAAGCCTAGTTAATTCAAGGGAGCTGTTTTTAGCATTTGAGGGAGTTAAGGGTAAAACTAAAACTGGGAAACCTTTCTTGCAAATTGTTTTCATTCAGATCCTTAAAGCCACCAATCCAAATAAAAAAATGGATCAAATTTGCACAAGCAAAATTTGGTATTTTTTCTGCTGTTTTTTGTTACATTGTGTCAAAGTACTAAGGGGCTGCAAATGGGAGGCTGAGCTGTGAATTTACAGACACTGATCAAAGAACCCTAAACAGATGGAAACCCTGATTCTTTCTACATTTATAAAACTATTCTTAGTTCTACATGAAAAAGATCAAGATCAGGCCAATCTAGGGGGGGGGGGTTGCTGTTCTGAACTGCCATCACCTCCTTTTCTTCTGCCTGAAGTAGTACAAGGAGACAAACTTTCTGGAGAAAGGCTGATGGTATTAGATTGAGGTTCACATAATTGTAACTGATTGTGACAATGCTAAAACAGCAATGTTGAAGAAGCCACAACTTCCCCAAATTTCATTTCCTCTGGAGTAATGGATCCCAGCATTTTTTAAATTAGCCAACTTGAAAATGTTGAAAATGTTTTGCCCTGTGATGCATGTTTCAACCAGTTAAAAGATTACAGACACACGTTTTAGTAGTATGGAGAAGCCAATATTTTCAACAATTCCATAGGAACACACCGCACTCCCTTGTTCCATCCTCCACCCAGCCTGTGGAAAGGGAAAAAGAAAGGGAAAGGAAAGGATGACAGGAGAGAAGGAGAAAAGAAAATGAGGAAGGGAGGGAGGGAGGAAGAAAAGGAGAGAAGGAAATAAGGAAGGGAGAGAAAGAAGGAAGGAGGGAGGAACAGAAGGAAAGGAATAGGAAAGAGGGAGGGGAGGGAAAGAAGGAAGGAGAAAGTAACGAAAGAAAAGGGTGGAAAGGAAGATTTTCAAGGTTCACTGCCAGCTTCCCATAAAGAAACTCTGTGGGGAAGCCAGCAGCAAGCCAGAAGTTGCTCCCATTCCCACTTTTTGGCCCACCTGTCGTCATTCTGTTTCTGTGTTGGGTAAGGAAATATGTGTGAAATGATGATCTAATGAGTCACGGGTTATCTAGTTTGCAGCTATAAGTAGAATGTTACAGGAAATATGAAACACTAGCTACAGTGTATAACACTTGAACATTGTCCACTATATGATAAAATGAGTATAACACAAATGTGTGGTCTGTACCACTAAACATATGTCATGGTGTTAACATTTTTGAAACTCATTCTTTAATCACTATAGATTGTATTATGAATGTCTATCAGAAATTAATGTGTCTGCATATCAAGTTTCTAAATTGGCTGTATTGGTTACAGTTTGGTGGGATTCTTTTATTACTTTTATGGTAGCTTCCAGGTACAGAGCAAAATGCCCTGAGCGGACGTGTAAGCATTAACTACATTTATTTCTCTGTCACTCATCGTAATACTCTTTGTTTGTAGCAAGAACCCAGTGAGGCACCAATAGCTAAGAGACCACGTGGTAGACCAAAGGGGAGCAAAAACAAGGCCACTTCAAAGGGAAGGGTAAGTATTCTGGCTGTTGGATAATGAATTAAAAATCATACTCAATCACATGTACTCTTTCCTGTTGTTTTTATGCACATATACCAATTGAAGGTGACTGTTAAGGCTGATCTGGAGAATTGTTTCAACAGAAATAGCCATCTATGGAGAAATGAACCAGCCATAGGGAATTGTCAGTGGCATTCTCCAAACATTAAATGTATTGGAACAAACTTTTAATGCCTTTACTAGGACCAGCTAGTATAGATAGCCTTGACTTACGACCACAATTGAACCCAAAATGTCCATTGCTAAGCAAGGCAGCTGTTAAATGAGTTTTGCCCCATTTTACAACCTTTTTTGTCACAGTTTTAAGTGAATCATTGCATTTTCAAAAGGCAACTGGACTTTCTTGATTTTTTCTTGAAGACATTTCACTGACAGAACTGAAGAAGCTTCTTAGTTGAGAAGCAAAATGTCTTCAAGGAAAAAACAAAGTCCAGTTGTCTTTTGAAAAAGGACCTTTGGGACAACCATGACCTGGATGAAGGAGAATCTCTTTAGATATGAATCAGTTGTTAAGTTAGTAATATGGTTGTTAAGTGAATTTGGCTTCCGCATTGACTTTGCTTGTTAGAAGGTTGCAAAAGGTGATCACATGGCCCCATGACACTGCAACCATCATAAATATATGCCAGTTGCCAAGCATCTGAATTTTGATCACGTGACCATGGGGATGCTACAGCAGTCAAAAGTGTGAAAAATGCTCATAAGTCACTTTTTTCAGTGCTGTTTAACTTCAAACAGTCACTAAATGAATGGTTGTAGGTCAAAGAATACCTATAATGAAGATGTGTAATAATGTGGGGGCTGCAGCCATGTCAACAGTTGGTTAAGAGACAGCTTAGCCTCAGTAAAAATATGAGTGTAGCAAACTTCTCAGAAGGCACCCTCCTTAGTTTTTTGGCCAGTGAAGGCAATGGGGGAGAAATGTGCTTTCAAATTAGCAAGACTGAAATCAGCCTTGTAAAGTAATCCATACAGGAATAACAGAGTTGGAAGAGACCTTGGAGGTCTTCTAGTCCAACCCCCTACTCAAGCAGGAAACCCTATACCATTTCAGACAAATGGTTGTCCAATCTCTTCTTAAAAACCTCCACTTTTGAAGCACATCCAGAAATATTTGCTCTGGTATTTGTAAATTACATTAACAGAATCTTGCAAGTCCGAAAGTATATTCTCCCATCAACTTTACAGCCTCAAACTTTTGAGAAGTTTGCTATACTCAAATTTCCTTCTGCTGGCTAAGATGCCTTTTATCCAACTGCAGCTTTTTCCTCTTTCCCAAGGTCATACCCACATACCATTACAAGAGATGAGTTATAACTCTAGAAAGGTTATGCATTTTCTCTTATGTTTTTTCTCAAAATGGTCTATTATGTCTCCCATTTTTATTTTATTTTAAATGTAACATTTTCCAATTCTTTATCTGTTTGTGCATATCAGTCTGATGTTTTTGAAGTTTCTAAGATAAAACTAAGTAGCACATGAAGAATATAAAATTCTAGATCTAGTTTTTCATCTGGTAATAAAATAGGACCTAAAGACTTATCCCCTTGACTTATGGCCATTTTTCACACTTATGACTGTTGCAGCACCCCCAGGGTCACGTGATCAAAATTCAGACACTTGCAATTGACTCATATTTATGATGGTTGCAGTGTCCTAGGATCATGTGATCACCTTTTGCAACCTTCTGACAAGCAAAGTCAAAGGGGAAGCCAAATTCACTTAACAACCTTCTTACTAACGTAACAATTGCAGTGATTCACTTAACAACAATGGCAAGAAAGTTCATAAATGGGGCAAAACTCACTTAACAAATGTCTTACTTAACAACAAAACTTTTGGGCTCAATTGTGGTCGTAAGTCGAGGACTACTTGTATATGTTTTCCTATTATCGATTTTGCCTAGTATTCTGTGAAATTTTCAGGTACCAGTTAACACCATTTTCTGAAATAACATCTGTTTTAAGCCTAATATCTGCTTTAAACCTATAAAGAATACATATGTTAGGAAACAAACTCAACGTTGAGGATCCCCAAATTTCCTCATCACTCTTGTTAATTGTTAACTGAGAATGAGCCAAGAGCATTGGATATTTGCAAAAAAAGCAGTTGTCTCAATGCTACATCAATGCAAGTAATCCTCGCTTAACAACTAGAATTGAGGCCAGGATTTGGTTGTTGAGCAAAGCAGTTATTAAGCAAAATGCCCACATAACTGCTTTGAACAGTGATTGCTCTCCTGGTTGTGGCTGTCAAGCAGTCTCTGGAGTCATTGTGAAGACAGAGTAAAAGAGCTGCCAGCCAAAGTTTGAACAGTCACTGAATGAGTGATTATTAAATGAGGACTACCTGAATAACCATCAAAGATGCCGTGATAGACTTAGAGAGAGAGAGACCAGTTCACCCTCACCCGTGGAAGTTTACTGAGTGACTAGTCATGCTCTCTCAGTCCATTACAAGATTGCTATTGTGGAGAAAAATATGAAGAAACATTATGTGTATGGCTTTGAGCTTCTGGAGGAAAGGCAAGTTATAAATCTAAAAAATTACTGAAGGGCTGTCATTGTAAAACAAAAAAGGGTAGGCTTGTTAAGTGTTGCACCAGGAGATAATAGGAAAAAGTCATTTTTAGATTACAAGGAAGCAGGTTTAGTGTAGATATCACAAAACGTTTCCTAATGGTAAGAGCTTAGCAGAGGCATGCCATAGTAGTGGATTCTTGCATTGAGCACAGCTGCACTAAGTGATCTTTATAGTCTGTATAACACATTTTAAGATTTTATGAACATTGAAAAACTATTTCCAAAGAAAAGCTATGCTTGTAAATATGCATATATTTATTTATTTTAGAGCTTATGGGGAAAGAAGAACAAATAATGGAGTTCTATTGATATCCAAATCTAGGTTTTTGAGTAAAAGATATTTGAATTAGCTGGACAGCTGGTGACATTTGCCTGTCTGTGTGTGTGAGCGTGTGTGTGTGTGTGTGTGTGCGCGCACATGTCTGTCTCCAAGCAGCTGGAGTTTGTAAATCTGCAAAGAATAGAAAGGGATATGTCTCACTCACACAGAGGGAAGATTGCAGTTTACTGAATTGGGTAGCTTCTCTCTGTCCCATCCCTCTGAACATGGAGGCCGTGACTTCCTAGCTTCCTCTGTTATATAGTTGCCAATCCTTAATGGCACAATGACTGTGCCATTTGCACACTGGTTAGGAATGAAGGCTTGATATATCAGGTGCTATATGGCTGAAACTGAGTGAAGCTTTGGAATAAAGCAAGGAAATGAATAAATGATTTCAGAGCTGATGACTTGGCAGCTGTTTACATATGCAGTATGTAATCAGAAATACTAGGCCCGAGCCATAAAGGGCATGGTCTTTCTTCACCCAAGTCTTCCAACTAGATACCAAAAAGTATCTCTCCAAGTCTTCCAACTAGATACCAAAAAGAATTTTCATTGTTCCAGATGCTTTGGAGCAACAGATGCTTGATCCTGATTTGGCAGCCAAGCTGCCAAGGTTATTTCAGTGGACACCTCAGCTTAGCCCAAGCCTCTCGCCATCTGTTCAAATTATAAAATGTAGCAAGAAGAGAACAGGAACCAAGTTCTGGAGGCATTTGTTTCTGTTTGTTATGCATTTGACTCCCTGCAGCTATTTTGTTCTATTTTAACAAGTAAGAGCAAAACCTTATTAAAAAGGCACTTCCAGTTCCTGTAGGTGTATGAATTATAAATGTTCTGTTCCTGGTTCTGAAGTGACAGTACCGAACCTATTCTGTGATTTGGAGAAAACATTAGATATATTCCCAAATGATGCTGAGTACTATTGTATGTGGGTACATGTAACAGTACTCAGCATCATTTGGGAATATTTTTTAGCCTTTGCTAATGGGCAGCCTCCTCCTAGCAGTCAGCTCTTATACTGTTGCGGTTACTATACAGAGCAAGTATGTTCCTGGAGCCTTTTGAATCCAAAATAGCCATTACAGATGTTAAGACAAATTTACACTAAGCATGCTCTGCAATAAGTACAGGTTATTGTGATGACCAAGCTTTTGCTCTTGGCCTGACAGTTTCTCCTACAGCTGTCTCTGTATACTTAAATGGGATTGCAACGAGGTGCCATGGAAATAATGGATCTACTTCCCAAAGTACTTTTCTACTCCAGTATCCAAATGATCCTGCTAGTTCCTCATCTGGTGTTTGGAACTATTTTAGATAAAATGTTTGGCATGTGGAATAATCTGACACTTCAATAACCTTCTGCTTTGAACTACACATCCAGACTTTGCCGTACTGCAATTAAAGCAGAAAAATGGGACTGGGCTGTATTCAGGGTAAGAATGTTTTGGGATGCTGTAACCGGAAGCAGAGACCTGACAGAGTACTACCTAAAAGGCCAGTCAAATGATGGTAAGAGGGCAAATTTTGGTCCTCTTCCTGACCCCTGCCTAAAGGAACAATATATAAATGCTAGGGAAGAGTTTTAGTAGGAAAGAGATTTTTAGAGGGTTTCATGAACACAGTGTATATTTGTATTTGGTTTCAAACCTCTCTTGAAAATATACGACTCATATCCTGCATTCTCTGAGTCATGGTACTAGAACCCAGATGACTCCTGTTGAAAGTGGCAGTAATGGTAAAGAATAACAAGGGAAGGACTAGTGGCTCTGATGCCAAAAGACAAGACCGAGGCCAACTAAAAAAGATTTTTGCCAACCCAAGTTTCAAGTGTATGAATCACATCCTGATTATAAGGTTAATTTAGAATTTTTGAGATCATCCTGGGTATTTGTTGTAGCTCCTGCAGTTCAGGTTTTGTTTATTTAGCTTAGCAGCTGTAGAAATTAAATTATTATGCGTGTTCAAATGAAGAAAAAACATTTCACATCATAGATAGGAACTATCTTGAGCAACACTGTTCTGTTTCACTTTCATTATTGGCTTCTTTGAGGCAATGGCTAGTTGTTTCTATCACAATTAAGAACAGGAATATTTAAGGATTGTTTTCCAGTTTATTAGTAGCATTAGAATGCCTTTTCACAAGTAACTTTGATTTCAGACATTGAATATATTTCTTGTAATGTCCATCCAGATAATCAAGAATAACATACAGGAATGCTAATATTTTCATAACATCTATTAAGTCATTCTGTGTTCATTATAACTTGTATTTTACTAGCTAGTACAGTATAATATGTTTGATGTTGAATTAGGTGGTAGTTCCTGAGGTTTGCTAGCATAATTTCCAAAGTTGAACATCTCACTTTATAAGGGGAAAAACCCAAAATGGAGTGCCTGAACTCAAGCAGAAATACAGATTACACCAGCCTCGTGTTTTAGTACCTTCCAAATATGTATTATCTATTTTATTTATTTGAAATCTTATATTGATTGCTTAATAGCCGAAGCTCTAGTATTTATATAGTATAATACATATATAAGATAATATCAAATGGTTACCAGTTCCATAACTTTGTCCTGCTACTCTCATACCCCCAGATTGTGGTAATGGAGTTCATCCTACACATCTGGAAGATGCTAAGTTGAGACAGTCTATTTTAAAATGAATGGCCTCCTTTAAAATGTATTATTTTTAAAAGAAATATTGCCTGCTACTGTTACTGATTTTCAGGGATTCCTTCTGAACAAAAGTGCTCCAATATAGCAACAACCTTTTAATTAATAAAGGAATATAAATCAGTCTAAAACCAAACTGGGTTTCTTGTAGATGGCAATAGCTTGTAATTTTGATCTTCATTTAACGATCATCTTTATGCCTTCCTTCTCCAGAAAGCTGCTGTAACAACACCTGGAAGGAAGCCTCGAGGTCGACCGAAAAAATCAGTAAGTCGTTTTTGAAAAGAGTTATCTATATAAAGAAAAGGGGGTGGGAAGGGAGAGGTTATTTTAGTCTCTTATCCTCTTGAATCTCAACCTGTTTGCAACCAGTGGTTACACTGGATGGGGGAAATTATTGGATTAAGAGAGATGAATATGGTGAATATAATTAATTTTGTCATATACAGGTTGTGTATTGTTTACAGGTATTGTTCACAAATCTGGAATTTTGCAAATGGAATTTTCTGACTCAAGCCTTTTATAAACTATGCCTTAGCTTTTCTACTAGTAAAACATAATACAACCACAGTTTTTTTCACCATTACTAGGCAGAAAAGATGTAATCGTTTTTGGCCTACTCTGTAGGGCTTGCATCTGGTGATGGAAATGGGGCATGTAGGAATAGGGAACAGGTCTGAAGAACAAATCAGTGGTATTATTCCCTAACATCAACCTTTAGTGCCATCATCTCAGAATATGCAATGACAGTGCTTTTGATTCGTCTCCAATAGCCACTTTACCAAAATATTCAATAGGAGGCAGGTTTACCATATTAAGTGAAAAATGCTGCGATATAAAGATAAGTAAGAAGACTGAGACATCTTGTTGGATTTATTCTCAATTTTGAATCTTTCTGTAACAATATCCATTGAGATGTAATTCTCTTATGGATCTGATGAGTTTTAGAAACTCTGATTGGTGCAGCATAAGGGAATTTAATGCTTCTTTATTGGAAATTTCACGAGTATGTTGCCTGTCAAAGCTAAATCTGACTGCTTAGGAGGCTTTCCGAGGTTTATTTTGTTTTAATCCTATCTTTTCAACATTTTATACATGTTGTGTTTCAGTTTAAAATTATTCTTTCTTGCCCTGAAGTGAGTAACAGGAAGTGGCTTGTTCTGTTAAGTAGCACAGATTTGGTGTTGCCACTATGGCATTCTTGCAGAGTGAGTTTCAGTCAGTTTCATCTGGCCTTGATTGCTTAAAACAATTTTTTTAAAAATAATCCCAGAAGAGATTTTGGTCTACATTCAAAAATTTACTAACAAAATAGGATTTTCTAGTTGATCCTAATAAAATTATGTGCTCTAGCTTTAGCGTTACTTTTATACACTACAAAGCAAGATTATTTCTTCTTCCTGATAATGATTATGTTCCATTATACCCTCTTCATGCAGACAGAAGTATATTTTACCTCTTAATGTTTATCTCTATATATCTTGTAATAAAAGTTACAATAGCACAAAAGGCTAGATGTTCTTTGGAGAAATATTTGGCAAGTCCCTTTAAATCGGGGGTTTACCTAGGTTGGGACTTAACTTACAGGTGGCCATTTTAAATTTCCTATAGAGACCCAGATAAAATTCTACATTGAAATGAGGACATTGTGTTAAATTAAAATGGGGAACCCAAATATACTTTGTACCAGATTAATTACCAAATTAATTTGTCAAATATCACAAATTCGTGTTTAGGAATAATTGTAAATCAACCATTTCCCCCCAAAATGGACATTTTTGATATTCTGAGAGTATGTTGTAGGGGAATTCACAAAATGGCTGTCAAAGGAGACGTTTGTCCAGTCACAAAGAGCACTTCATTGCATATGGCCTGTCACAAAAGTCATTTGTCACAAAACAAACTGAGACAAATGCTTTTATCACACTTTTAAGCCCTTAGGACGTGGTCCATCAGTTTACTATTGCATTATTTCTAGGCAGGGGATCATGTTTCCAGGCACAATTCTGAGCTGCAGATTCCCACTATTCTAGTTTTTCTTCAGTTCAGATACGGTATCCATATTTTTCTATTTTATTTTTGAGAATGCCTGGGTAAGCTATTCGTAGAAATAAACAATACTGGGAGCTGATAATCTGCTTTATCGGATGTTTGTCATATATTTTGATGGAGATTTCCCTCCTCAATTTTAATGACATGTAGGACAGACAAATCCACAGGCACATTCAGAATGACATTGCCAATACTAGCTTTACATTCTTGAGTTCTCTGTAGGAAATTTATCTGGGACTTCATTGATGAAGTGAGTTGTGGAGAAAAGATAGGCAGATATCAATGTTACTGGATCTTGCCCAGGATGCTGAATGTTGGCATTACATTTGTAGCCCAGCTATGAAGACAAATAGATTCCCTTTAAAATAAGCTAAACTATATCTGTAGAAAATTCCAGGCTTATTGAAGAAGTTGGGGACATAACTAATGTTTTTGTTAACAATCCCATTTATTCTTACAAACAAATTGAAAATGTTCAAAACAGGTTGTGCCATTAATTTAGAATGTGGAACATGCTGCTGACTCCATATTGGTCTAAATATTAGAAGTGGCTGATGGCTTTGCAGTTCACATCTGTCGCCAGCTGTCAAAGTGTAAGGAGCAGTCCTTGCCAGAAACAGCTCATTGCAAGCTTTCTTAATAAGCAGATAGGCAATTTTCCAAAATGGGAAATCAGATTTGCAATGAACATTTAAAAAACAATTTCTTTTAAATCATGACATAGATAAGAAATTGTAATAGATTACATATTTGGTCCTTCATTTCTTAAAACTTGAATTTTGGCAATAAGAAACCTTCTGTTATCTGCAGGAATTACTATTGCTAAAATGTCACGCTTGCAACATTATGCTTGCCTTTCTGCTAACATTGATATTCAGCCAGAACATACATGAGTTCAAATAAACAGATTATGCTATTATTTTTGAAGCCCATTCCTGAGAAGTAGGGTATGTGGGAAAGAATAATAATAAAGTATTCTTTGAAGATCACTCCAGCAGGGCACTTCATGAAAATTAAAAGAGCAAACCAAGGAATATGGTCATTTCCTCTAATATTCACATTGGGTTACTTCCAAGAACTGTAACTAATTTAGGATTTAATCTGCTCTGCCTCTATCTGTAATATCACCTAGATCAGGGGTAGGCAACCTTGGCTCTTTTATGACTTGTGGACTTCAACTCCCAGAATTCCCGAGCCAGCATAGCTGGCTTGGGAATTCTGGGAGTTGAAGTCCACGAGTCAAAAAAGAGCCAAGGTTGCCTACCCCTGACCTAGATGTATTAGTTTCCTCTGAAATAATATTTCCATTTAAATTGCAAACTTTTAAATGTTTCATGATCCATTCCACTCGTCTTCTTTTGAGCTTGTTAAATCTTTTTCCAACTTGATTGGAACTGAAACCTTCACTGTGTGTCTTCTTTTAGCAAAGAGGTTAAGTAGAGTTGATTATTTCCTTCCTTTACTAAATGAGCTCTCTTGCCCTAAAACTTGCTGAACCGACTTGGCAGGCACATTCCACAGTGGTTTAAATGTGTGTTTTTATGAATGAAACACAAGGAAGTCAAGGTTGCTGACTCACACATGCATTCAACCATGACTCATCTCATTCCAATAGCATTTGTTTTAGCTTTTAAAAGAGCAGGCAGGAGAGACTTCCAGGAAGAAATATTTCCCCTCATATACAAACAGTTGTTTATTTAGGCCTAAAAGAGTGTGGATGTTAGGAATTTACTTGCTGGATACGATAAACTTTTAAGGAGACTGCAGAGGGAGCTTAAACATTGGACCTATTTTTTGTTTCGTTTTTAATTCTGCTCTGTCCCTCTTGTGGCAGGTTGAATATATGACAATTCAAAAGTCCAAGATGAATTCTGTGTTTGAAGCAGTTCACTTTGTAGTGAACATTATTTTTATGCCGACTTCATATCCATGTGCTCATTAGGTTTGTTTCATTAGTTCCATTGTATGTTATGCTGGTTGGGTCTTGAATAACTTTTGTTATTTTGTTATGCACTTAGGCAGAGACACAAAAAAGCTGGAGTAGCTTCAGAAAAGACCTATCAGAGTAAAGGAGTCCGAAAACAAGCTCTATGAGGAAAGACATACAGATAGTTCTCGACTTATGACCACAATTGAGCCAACATTTACGTTGCCAAGCAAGACAGTTGTTAAGCGAGTTTTGCCCCATTTTACGATCTTTCTTGCTACAGTTGTTAAGTAAACCTGCAGTTGTTAAGTTAGTAACACAGTTGTTAAGTGAATCTGGCTTCCCCATTGACTTTGTTTGTCAGAAGATTGCAAAAGCTGATAACATGATCCTGGGACACTGCAACTGTCATAAATACTTGCCAGTTGTCAAGCATATGAACTTTGATCACATGATAGCATTAGCAATAGTACCTAGACTTATAAACCACTTCACAATTCTTTACAGCCCTCTCTAGGCAGTTTACAGAGTCAGCATATTGCCCCCAAAATCTGGCTCCTCATTTTACCCATCTCAGAAGGATGGAAGGCTGAGTCAACCTTGAGCCAATGAGACTCCCAACGGCCGAACAGCAGAAGTAGCCTGCAATACTTCATTCTAACCACTACGCCACCACGGCTCATGATCATGGGGAAGCAGCAACGGTTGTGTGACAGTCATAAGTAACTCTTTTCAGTGTCATAACTTCGAACTGTCACTAAATGTATGCCTGTAAGTTGAGGACTACCATATTTCAGAAGACATTTATCAAATGCCTACTTCAGATATCACAGTAAAATGAGAATCAATGGGTTGAAATTAAATGAAAGGATATTCACTCTGAACAACATTAGGAGGAATTTCCAAAGGGAACAAATGATACACAGTTGAACAGTTTGTCTAGAACAGTGATGAAGTCCCCCTTGCTGGAGGTTTTCAAATGTAGACTGGATAGTTACTGAGGATAGTCTAGGGAAATCCGGCACTGACAAAGGGTTGAACTTAAGGATCTTTAAAATGACTTCAGACTCCTACATTCTGTGAAATTGATGATTTCAGTGTATGATCATAAAATTGATTCCAGTCATGTAATACCTTGACTTACAACTGCAACGACTTACAACTGAAATTCCAGGCTCCATTGTGATCATGTCGCAGACTACCTGTAATAGGAATAGACTTCAAAAGCAAACACTCTAGAACTTGGATGTTTCTCTTTTTGTAAGTGTTTGATGATGATGTTATACAGCAAATGAATGCTAGCAAAGGAACAGGTTTTTGCTTGGGCACACTGGTCTGCATTACAGCAGGAAAAGCAAAGCCATTCCTTGAAGTTCTTCTATTGATTGCCACCTTCCTCCCTCTATAAGGAAGGAGGATCAGTTGCCTCTGTGCAGCAATGAGGAATGGTGTTCCTCACTCCTGCTATAGTATGAGGCTTAGTCTTAAAACAAGAACAATATAGCAGCAAATCTTCCCAATACTATTTTCTTCCTGTGTAGGAGAAAGATGAAGAAGAGGTCAACATCTCCCAGGAGTCTTCAGAAGAGGAACAATGAGAATAGCCGACTGATTCTACCTCACAGCTCAGTTTTCCTATTTCTTGTCAAGTTCTGGGACTGAGGAAAGAACGAAGAATCCTCACCCCTTTCCTGACCTGATCTTTCCAACGTTCTCACAGTCAAAACAGCAACACTAGGGTACAGTGTAAAACAGATCAACCATCATATTTGATGTGTAATGTTTAATGGGAGAACTTTATATTTTGTTTTCCCCTCTCATTTGACAGGGTTAAGTGTTTAGCCTACCAATTCATGTAATTCTGTATTATATCTGTTTGATCTATTTCTCCAGAACACTCCTTATCAAGAAAGGGGTTTATAAATCTTTATAGTGACCACTTATTCATGTTGAAAAGAGTGGACAGCCTAGTTCTTCCTAATCAATCCTAATTTCCACTTTAGAGAGACCATAATACTCTCCAAAAGGATAACTTGGCACTGGCAGAAAGTTTGCCGAGGAGGAAGATTTGAGAGCATTGTTATTTTATTTTTTTCTGGGAAATGAGTATAATGGGATAAAATGCCACAACATTAAAAGGATGGATACATTATTTTTTACTACTGTAAGGTATTTGCGAGAATAATTGAGAGGAAGTTGTCCTATCCTTTTCACCCAATTTCCAATAGTTCAAGAATATAGTGCTTTGCAATCGGTCTGTGTATTCTTGTTGACCACATGCTACCCTGCCCCAATCAGCTGCCTTAAGGCCAGAGCAGTTACACTTGCATAGGCTGAGGTGTTTGGGGTGAATCTGACCTAAATTCTCATCTTTTCCCCAGGAACCAGAGATCCTATTTTTCCCCCTTTTCCATTTCCATCTGTCCCAGCTGCCAGTGCACAAATGGAGCGTACAACTGAAATGTTTTTCACTTGGTGCTCAGTCATTCTGCACAGAAATTATATTGAACAAGACTTTGCCATGACCAAGGAAAGCAGGATGGCAAAATTCTCTCCCTTCGTGGTCTCTCTTTGGGTTTTTGTGATTTTTCTCTTTTGGAAATAGCAGTTAGCAGTTGACAGTTGTCTTTCCATTATATATTGTTTGTCAAGGTTTTCCTTCTTAATTCACAACTACCTCTGGATACGTTTGAGTTTCATTCTCTTAAAACATAGATTGCTGCTGTTTGTTGCTGCTGTACTGATTACAAAGTTTTATTTCAACAGGTTCTGTCTGGTTTTTCTCTGGAACTGACATTTTACACTACAGATAATTTCATTTCAGTTGACTTTTAAAACTGTTGTGCTATTAAAAAGGGATAAAAGCTCTTATTTGTCAGACTGATGAATGATTGGGGAGAGGGAGGTTGTGAAAGTGGACATTATTGTAAATACTAGGCTCTACTATGGAAACCCCAATCACAAATAACTTCTGAAAGTATAGATATGATTTCTTTATACTACTTTTTTTCAAAACATACCCATTCTTTCTATCGGGGCTTTTTTTTTTCTTTTTAAAGCTGTATATTAGCTATATTAAGAATTTTGAAACCTCGTGGTAAGTATTCCCTAGGTACAATTTAACAGAAAGCAAACTGGTCAGAATGCTTCTCACCAACTCCTTTTATACCACTCTAGCTTAGCTTTTGTCTTTTCTCTGGAAAGTGAAAACTTCCAAATAAAGCATTGGACTACAATCACCCTTTATTGCTTTGTTATCTTAGAATGCTGATATGGGATCAACAAACATTTCTAGAAATATTTTTGAAATTTAAAAATGTTAGGTGCCTGGGTAAGGCATCAAAGGGGACATTTACACATACACTGTGCTCATGGAAACTATATAGCCTACCTTTCTGCCCACTCACATTCTTCTTCTGCATCTGATATATTTCATAAAACACTCTTAAAAGGGAACAGAACTGAGCTGGTTGCATTGAATATCCAGTATATTATGTAGAAGATAACTGTTATTCATTCAGTAAAAGGCACAAAAATTTTAAGTAAGGATTGCAGTAATTCCTGAACTGGTCATTAATTAATATCATCAGTCGGTCTCTAGCATCTGCCCAACGGATTGACATTTGTTCATCTTCCAAGACCAGTATGACTTTGCCTCTCTTTACAAATATACAACAGCAATCCCTGTTTAAAACTCTCATCTTTCTAGCCTGGCTAGCATGATTTGCACAATGCCTGAACAAATTAGTTTCCAATTTAAAAATTATTTTTGGCAGTGATTAAATAATAAGACCATAGGAATCTGTATTACTATTGTTCCATCTAGCTCAGTATTGATAAAGAATGACTGAAAGTAGGATTTCAGCCCATTTCTCCTGCCTCATTTGAATATGCCAAACACAGAAAACCAGGATTTTCTGTGTGCATTGCATGTTATGTACTCAGGCAAAAGGATTTAACTTTGTTTGCCTACAAATAAAGCAAACCTTGTTTATTAAGTAGGCACATTTTTTTTTAGTCTTTATCAGGGCAATAGCAGAGAAGAGTATGAACTCTTCCCTCTCAAAGGGTTATATGAAATATCCTTTCCATTACCATGCTTGATCATTTTAATTAATTGATCTATGGTTTTGTTAAGTCACAATGCAAAAGGATAGTATAATCAGTAGCTTATAGCGTATAAATTTATTACTAAAGATTGTGGTTTACTTGAATAAAATGAGTGATGTTTTAAACTTTCATAGCAGTAGACACAAAAAAAATTAAACCTGAATTCATAGGGACCTCAAAAGGCACAAAGAGAATTCTTGTCATCAGATTTGCCACGTGTCCTTGCTCCATTCTTAATGCAGCAGGCAATATTTTTCCTTGTAATATACTGTATGCTTAAACCTAAACGACATTTGACATATATTTAAATGTTATACTTTGGTGGCATCTTATCCTTCACTTCTTTTATCACTTCTGATGTTGAGGAAGATGCAAAATTCTGGTTCTTGCACTTCCGGCGGCCTCAATGATCATTATTTGATGCTGTTGTAGTGTGTCTTTGATGTTGTGTCTCCACCTTCTTCTGAGTCTGCCTCTTTGGCCCTCTCTTTTTGTATGTGCCTTGTACAGTATAGACTCCCAAGATGGTATAACTGGAATAAAAGTTCTAAATATTGAACCAAGAGCTAGTCAGTCTTGCCATTTTCTAAAACTGTTCTTCCCTCTCCCCATGCTTTTGCTTGAAACATGGGATTTCTGGGGGAAAATCCAATTTTTTTATTCATTCTAATATCCACAAACTGCACAAGTATTTGGGCTACAATATTTAATTAGAGAGATGTAAAATCCCTGCTTTCCACTATTTTTAGAATTTTTAGATCTATCACCAGAAAAACACCTTTAAAAAATTAAAATTGCCAAACCTGTCTGAATATCTTCAATTCCTACTGTGTGAAGAAAGTACATGAGCAACAGTCTTGGATAGAGAAATGTAGATATTGGAAAAGCTGCACTGTATATGTTTCAGTAGTTGCATAAAGAAGTAAAGTTGGTGCAGTTTATCATGTCATGATAGTATGTTAACATAGAAAAGTCTAACTTTATTAGATCGGGTGTCATGGGTTTTATTTCCTAATCTGAACAGAGACAAAAAGTGGTCTACATTTTTAAGAATTTAGTGGATTCCTAACCCTTAATAATTGTAAGAATAATCAGATTTAAGGTACTTCTTTTAAAAGAGATGTAGCCTATATTCAACAGAAACACATTCCCAATAAATAATACCTGAATCCCCAGATGTTCTTCAATATCAGATCTGAAATGAATATTTTGGTATGCTTCTGGGCCAAAACAGACATGATGGCAATATGCTCTAAAGCTAATTGGAGAGAATTTCTGTAAAATGAAAGTGGATTACAGCTAGGATCCCAAATTCATGTTTCACAACCATAATGATACACTGGAGAATACTTTGATCAGAATGTCACTTTGAATATACTATAAATAGAAAAAGATTACTGTTTCTAACTCCTGTTATCAAATAATGGACCACTACTACAACCGATTCTAGAATTTTAATTTTTGCATCCAATGGATGTTTACAAAAAAAACCTTTTGTTTCTAAAAACAGAACAATTTGCCTCTCAAATGCTACTATGGAGGGAGCTCAGCTGTTTAGAACAGGTTTGCTTAGGTCAGGGGTTCCCAACTGGGGATGCAAGATGATATTCCAGGGGTTGCGAAAACGTGGCTTTTCAAAATTATAGTGTATATGCATAATTCGTTGTCGTTATTTCGAACTTTTGTAAGGGGTGCAAGAATATATCAGAAGCGTTCTAGCGGTGTGGGGTATAGAAAAGGTTGGGAGCTGCTGGCTTAGGTAAAGAAGAATGGCAAAATCATCCTGACTTGATGCTCCTGGCACTAGCTGATATCTGCCAATTGTATATCTGAATCCCCAACTAGTGCACTGCGTTTGACTTAATTTTTTACAAAGATCAAAACAGGAATTTTCATTTTGCCCAACAGAAAATTAACTCCAACCATATCACAAATCAAAGTAGCAATCTAACACTCAGAATGCCTCAAGCTGAAGGTTACTCTTAAATCTATTCTTCAGCTGCTGTGGGGATGGAAATACATAATCTGTATTTGGGAAATTTATTTCTATTTTGAGACATTTAGCAGTATGGAAGTAAATGCAGTACATAAACGAAAGAACAAGCATTCAGTACATTTAGGAACTAAAATTCATGACTGGATGTAAATCATGACTGCAGTTTTTTGCCTGCAGACCCATAACAAAGCAAGGAGTAATAGCAATATGAGATATAAATTAAAGGCATACAGATGGGGACAACATAAAACAAATTACAGTGCAGAGTCCATATTGATTTCATTGGAAGATGATGCAGGAAATGGCAACTATTTTTCTTCATGGATTCAGCCCACGTAGCTGCACCACCAGTTCATTAACCTTGTGTGTTTAGGAAGAGAAGCAATGGTTACAATGTGCATTGCCATTCAGTGTTGTCATGGAGAAATTAACTTTATTTCCAGAACCACAATCGCCAATCTTTTTCTTTGCATTAGGAATACATTGTCAACCTCAAAAGGCATCAGATATATGCAATATAAGTTGCATCCCAATTTTCTTAAAATGTGTGGAAGACCCCCAACTTTGCTTAAAATCAAAACTTCGGGGGAAAAAGACATAAAGGCATTAAGACATTTTCTCAAAGTTACCAGTGCAGCTTTCTCATTAGGTGCATAATCTGTGTCCATTTGTTGAGTTCAGCAAGCAATGAGTAGCACAAATCAGCTTCAGCAAAGCAGCAGTGACACTGCTGCACCAGTATGTCAGTCCATCACAGGTATATCAATGGTAACAAGCTGTATTCACAAACACAGGCATAACAGGTTATAGTACTGGAAAAGCTTGTTTGTTTTGCCACAGGTACTCCTAGTCAGGTTCAGTTTTATTTATAAAACAGATGATTTCTCAAATACCAAATATACAGTAAGTCCCTATTGAGCTCAAACATGTCATCAAAGAAAATAGCTCTCAGAAATAACTATGGTCCTTTCTGATAGACATGCTAAGCATCTATATGAACTTCCTAGCTAAACTGCATCCTCCCAGCATGTAACACACAAACAATTCCAAAGCTGGTGACATATACCCATTATCCCTATTTCAAGAAGTATACCACCACCCCTCAAGCACTGAGTTATGCATTTGGCAATTTTATTCACTTTGTTTGCATCTGTTCAGCAACATGTTACAGGAATCCAACAACTTTAAATAATACACCCTTGAGAAGGCAGCTAGCAATGTGTGCTGGAATATCATAGCAGCTGCATTCTGATGCTCTTTGTTCACAAAAGGAAACCGAGGTTGACTGCTTTGTTTTTGCTTTTTTTAATGAAGCCAAGCTTTTGAGGATTGACGCCCATAATGCAAGAGCTATTCAGTAATATTTTAGTCGAAAATCCATAAACTCCTGTATCTTTTCATCCACATAAAATGCAAACCAGGAGACAATTGATACGAAGAATGATGCCACATAGCAAGCTGTCCTAGTTCCAAACACAATTCTCCAACTCCTTAGGCTGCTCTTTGTACCAGGTGTCCAGTGCCAATCTCCTTGACACGGCTGGCACCCATTACACCTTGTTACTGGAAGTCACGGCAAGAGGCTGTAGTACTGAAGTGTAAAGAAAGGCAGCAACGTTAATGGCATTCAGGTTGGCACACATGCCAGGTAGGTCATCCATCTACACTCTTACGATCAGTCTGAGCTGAGTACCATCAAGCTTTCACATCCATAAATGAATTTCGATAGGGCTGGTATCCTCCCCAACCTCGCATGACCTGTAATACACAGACACATACAGACTTTCAGTAATAGCATCTTTTCAAAGAATAGGCAGCTTCCACAGCCTATTATTATGACAGGATAATAACCTGGCAGTTTTTATTACAATTAGAGCCTTGCTTCCCTAACTCAGCTGCATGAATGGAAATCCTCCAGTAAAGTTTTAATGGGAAGGAGATGGGTGCTCCGCCTGCACTTCCAATACTGCATCGTTTTGGAAGCCACTTCAGAAAGCAAAAATGGAGACAGCATTCTTTGTGGAAAATCACCTTTGAAACAGAAAGAAAAACCAGCTCCCATGCACTGGCTGCGTGAAACAGCTAGGCTTAAGCATATTTATGCTTCTGTGAACAATTCACTTCCTTTTTTATGCAGCCATGAAAAATAGACAGCCAAGGATCTTTTTTTTCAACATTTGTGATTTCAACACTGTTAACAGATACAGCAGAAATACTGATTACACATACAGTAATATAAAAATAACTCCTTACACATTGCTTATTTTCTAGCATGGTCCATACATAAAAACATTCTTTTTGTGATAGTCTTCAGTCAAATGTCCTAATAATATTTGGCTTTTTTAGCTATACTCACACCTTTTTGTAATCTCACTAAGCAAGCAAGATCTCCAACTGCAACTTTCTAATGTTGTTTGTCAGACTTAAGAAAACTAACTCTTCATCCTCCCCTCATTTTGACTTGTATCCCACACATTTCTGACAGGGCCAGACAACAAAAAAAATGGTATTTTTCTTGAGAGTAACCTCCCTATTTTGTTTGTAAAAGGCTGTATCTTGAAAGACACAAGGCACTTTTGAGGCGAAAGCTTTGTGATGTATGCCAAAATTTCTGCATTACAGTAGAATGCAGTTTATCCCAGAGATGCACACTGCTGTTAGCTTAGCTCTTTGCTTTTTTATGGGAAAAAATAATAGTGATGAGAAAAATAAATTGTATATAAAAAGGCTCAAGCTAACTCAAATGACATTCCTAGAGGCAGTATATCTGAACCAGGAGGCTCAAGAAAAAAAGCATAGCTTCAAACTACTCGTAGTATTCAACTTATGACCACAGTTGGGACCCAAACTGTCATTGTGATCTAAATTTGAATCAGACCCAATTTTTTACAGCAGCTGTTAAGCAAATCACAGGATCATTAAACAAATCCAACTTCCCCTATGGGCTTTCTTGCTGGAAATTGGCAAAAAAAATTAAAATTGTATTTTGACACATGTTGCCTGGCCTGGTTAAAAAAGTGGGTGAAACTCCAGAATAAGAGGCTACTTGATTTGGAAGGTGATGAATTAAGGTTTGGATATTGGTTATTTATGATAGGGGTCCCAAACCGGGCCGCGCAAACAAGCAAAGTCCCATCCATGGGATGCAGGTAGCATACAAATCCATGCCCCCTCCGGTCCGTGGAAAAATGTCTCTCCACAGAACCCAGTTGAACACGCAACTGTCCATAAATATCCTGAAACATGGCTCTGCAATACGTATGTAATGTGTAAAATGTCAGTAAGCTTACTTTAGTGTCCTCTGGCTCCACTAGGAGTTCTTGCTCAGCCTCATGCAGCTCCTCCGCAGGATCATAACTGTACATTGGCAACAGATGATGGCGTAGTCGATCGTATCTAGAAAGTAATTTTGTCAGAGTGTAACCTAAAACTGTCCTCAAGCAATTAAAAGTTGCTACAACTTTTTTCTCATGACCCTGGCACTACCTTAGGCAAGGTAGAGCTAGATCAGTGATGGCGAACCTTTTAGAGACTGAGTGCCCAAACTGCAACCCAAAACCCACTTATGTATCGTCGAGTGCCGGGTGGGCGTGGCCAATTGAGTGGGCATGGCTGCAGTGGGACCAAAAAGTTCAATCAATTCCAACTTTGCGAGATCTTTTTTTTTTCCCGTGAGAAGTTGAAATTGATTGATTGAACCTTTTTTTTTTTGCACATGGCGGCGGAGGCCTAAAGCAAAAAGGTTTTATAAAACCCAGCTGAAGGCCTAGGACTGGGGCGACGACGCGCGTGCCCACAGAGAGGGCTCTGAGTGCTGCCTCTGGCACCCGTGCCATAGGTTCGCCACCACTGAGCTGGATCATAAAGCAATGTCAGGGATGAACAACAATCATAATTTCAATACAATAAATATTTTGAAATCTCAAGTAGTTTAGTGTTCAAATGTGCTAGATCATTGTTTCTGTTAGTCTCATGAACTAATAATTATTTAAAAGTAACTACACAGGTCCAAGTTTCAGTCACAGATCTGGTTTATATTTTGATAATTTATCTTAAGTTTCAATCATCAGTTGCCAGTCTTTAGCAACCTGATACTCTTCAAATGTTCTGAACAACAGATTCCAGAATTCCTAGATATAGGAATTAAGGAAATTGTAGGTCCAATACATTAAGCAGCACAAAGTTAGGTGCACTATAAGTAAGCTTTGCATTGAATATGCGTTTGTTTTTGTCAGAGGAAAACTTTAGAGTTAACTAATATAGTAATAAGATACACAGATGATTTAGCACATAAAAGAACAGTCCATACCATTATTGACAAACCACTTTGCACATTAAAGGTTTATTTTGCACCCACCTAAAATTATATCATATTTACATACTGTGGATATTTACCCGGAACATGTAAATTATACTATAGTGAAATGTTAATTTATGGATTATACTGAACTAATCATAGAGCATGGATAGTTCTTCTAATGAGAATCCATCTACCTTAAACCCATGACTAATGAAGCATCAAACTGCATCCATGCAGCAACAAATCCTGTGGTTTTAAATGATGAATTCCGTTTTCCCACCATAACTCAACACATTAAGCTAGTATGCTTAAAACAGGTATCATTATTCACTATATCAGAAAACAATTGTGATGTGATCATTTATAACTATCCACAATAGATCCTACAATACAACAGATATTGAAAGAATTGTATTATTTTTAATATAAGATTAAAAAAGAGTTACTAGTCAACTTCATATGGTTCTTATTCATTTTTAATGTAATTCCCAGCAGCCATTTTCCAGGGGCATTTAATGAAAGAAAAAAGAATAACATGTCATAGTTAAACCAACATACACAGAAGCAATGTGCATTATTCCACTTTACATTATTTAATGAATTGATCTACCTCTGTTTACAGTAGAGTAAGTATGTAATTGACTGCATTGTAAAAAAAACAAAAAGAGTCCCTTCTAGTAAGAAGATAGATTTGAAAAGACAAAGAAGCCCAAAATCTCCTACTGGAATTTCTTACCTCCTTTTTTTCTGGATATACATCATCTGCAATGACAAAGGGGAAGGGGAAAATAACTATGAGAGGAATGTGAATATGCTCTAGACATTATTTCTTCTAACTAGGAATAAAAATAAAGAAAAAGAATACAAGGAATGTGAACATCAGGGTCAACATTTGTTTCATTAGTCTATGTGCAATTCTCACAAGAGGCATGCCACATAATAGTAACATATGTGGAGTACCCAGTTCATTTGAGATGTGACCTTAAGTGTCAAATTACAAGGATATTGACAAATGTAGCTCTATGTAGATAAAATCTCACCAATGTTTCCAGAGACCAACCTGGTATCCTCCAGGAATATTGGATTACAGCTACTTTATTTCCCTCAACTTTCATAGCCTTTGATAATATTAACTAAGGACAATGAGAGCTGTAGGATACCACAGTAGGGATGACTGTATCTTTTCAGTGGAACAGACTAAAGAAAGTCCTATTTTGGCATACTTCTTATGAAAGCTATGGTCCCTTAAGAAGCTGATTTCAATTTGTGAGCATCTTGAGGTAATTACAAGTTTCAAGGGCCTGAGTTTATGCAATAAAATGTTTGTTTGGGCTATGGCTTCCAGATACACTGAACATAAAAACCAAAAGTAGAGCAGCTTTCATATAATCTACTTATATATCTACATAAAGCTATAAAATTCTTCAGTCAATTTACATTTTAGGCACTAGCATTTTAGGCATACAACTAAACTGAAACATTTACTTTTTTCCAAACTTAATAATATAAGACCTCTTACAGTATCCAGGAATTCTAGGCTAAGCGTCATTGAAGGCTATTGGAATTGTAAGGAAGAAATACTTTTGCTCATCCTAAGGGGGAAAATGCAATGCTTATAGAAAAGGGAAGCCAGATTATTTTTATGTATGTAATATATTACTAAGTAATGATCCCAAAATTCAGTCTTCCCAAAACAAGCATTTCATCCTATTGCATTCCTACATCCAATAAAGTATTACCACTTTGACAAAGCACTAACAGAAACGAACAAACCAGCTGTACTCCTCTCCCAGGTATCCTGTGCGCTGGGATGTAGTCCCAACACACCTGGAAAGAACAATATTAGAGAATATTTTGTTAATCTATATAGGACTCAAGTCTGTGGGTGATCTGAAAATGCTGTTGGTGAAAAGCAGAAACATTTGTGGAGCTAAGTAAAGGACAACAGTTTCCCCCAAAACTGTTTCCCCCACCTTGGAATAGAGAGTGACTGCATAACACACACAAGTGACAACAGACAGAATTCTCATATTACTTTTAAAAAGTTTAATTATATATTTTTGTGACTTAGGTCACTGGGATTTCCCGAGATGCAGTGTTCACAAATGGGCATTTCTAATTTAAAATGGTACTGACTAACTGAAAATGCTGCAACTGTTACAACAGAAACTGTTGACTAAGAATTGATATTGAGACTCATCTTTAACTTTCCAGCATATTCCATTGCTGACATAAAAACTAGAGCAGCATTTCTCAGCAACTTTAAGATGTGTAATCTTCAACTCCCAGAATTTCCCACCCAGCATGCTGGTCTAGAAACCAAGTGCTTCTGTCTTGAGTCCACTCACCACTGCCATGACGATGCCAACAATAGTGATAAGGAAAAACGGCACTAGAATATAGCCCACCAGGGAGTCATTGGTTGGCCCAGCAGAAGTGGGCATGGTGGTATTATTCATGGCATAGAAAACTTGCTTGACAAGATCGGAGAAGCAGCTCCTGTCATCATTGGGAAGTCCACCTCACAACGATAAAAAAAAAGTTTAGGATTAAAACACATTCTTCAAGTTGCCAAAAGCCACTCTTCTCCTCCTCCCCCACCCACTGCCTTCAAGCAACTGCCCATAAGACAGTCACAAGAATATCACATGCTACTCCTCACATTAGAATCAATGAATGAAATCCTTTAAAATATTTAGCCCTGAGATGTGAATCACAGCTAAATGAAGCTGATAAAAGGGGCAAGAAAAATAAACCATTCCAAGACAAAAAAAGAGTGACAAAGACAGAAAGGCAGACCATCTCTAAAATACTCTTGAAGAAATGCTTTCATCCATCTCGCTTTCTAGATATTTCCCATAATGGAGAAAAGCAAAACTGTGCAGCCCCTACCCCACACCTCCCAGCACATTCTATCAGTAAAATTTACATAGCAAAATTTGCTTCATGCTAGGCTCACTCACAAAACAAAGTACAAAAACTTGTTTTGGTCTTAGGTTAATAAGCCTGTGGCCCTCCGGATGTTGATGATAGAGCTCCCAATAGACATACCCAGAATGGCCAATGGAACAATAGTGGAGAATTGTAATCAGCAACATATGGAAAACCGTACGTTTCCCACTCCTTTAGACACATGCAAATTTAGAATCAAGCAAAGCAATCTGGGTTAATTCAAATAGATACAACACGTTTTTCTGTATGGGACAGAAAAACCATTAGTTTTTAGCCATTAATGCTACCACTATTCTGACTATTATAAGAAAATAGAAACCTGTATTTTAGTAAATGGGCCATAGTTGTCTGGTACAGCACATAATTTGCTTGCAGAATATCCCAGGCACAATCCCCATTATCTCCAGGTACAGATTTGTTTGGTAATCCTGTCCAACAATGCTGACTTAGTCTGTGGTTCATATCTTCATATTTTCAAAGTACTCATAAATAAATAATCTTATAGGAATATTGGATAACTTTTTTTTTCAAATTCTGAATTGGGAGTACAGGTTTTCATTGTAAATGCAACTGAAATACAGGATACAAATACAATCTAGATTTATATTACTATGAGATGTAAGAAGCCAAGTTGGACAAATTCCTTGTGGCCCCTTGTAATGGTATGTGGGAATGACCTTGAGAGTTAGAATTAGGGTTAGGAGGAGGAGATAAAGCCTAGGAAATTATCAGCTAAAAGAGAGAGGAGCCTGCAAATGCTTAATACACAAAGAAACTTAAGAAGGAGCCGCCCTAAGGTATCAGACAACAGGAGATTTATGGTTTCTGTTCTGACTTGCAAATTCTGTTAATGTAATCTGACAATAACATAGCACTGGCTCCTGTGGTCATGTTTTCTGTCTGGTTACCTGGGAGGGCTGATACCAATCTTGCAAGTCTCAAAATACAAATCTCTCCTGGTCATCAATGTGTTATAGCCCAATACATTAGAGTGGATCTTTCTTAAATGTCTTTGCTTGTTAAGCATTTGAATAGGGACCCTCAAATCTCAGGTGGGAGGCCAATCCAAAGAACTGGGACATCTACAAAGGTAAGACATGGTCCCACAAATCTGGCTCTGTGTCATGTAGAACTTTAAAGGTGATAACCAGCACTTTTAACTACATCCAGAAAGCAACTAGGGTCTAAGGCAGGCATGTCAAACTCGCGATGTCATGTGACGTCGCGCGATGTATCGGAGCTTTTTCGCCATTGCCGGCAATGGGGTGGGTGCGGCTCTGATATGATGAAACAGGCCCATGGGCCGGCAGTTTGACACCCCTGGTCTAAGGCAACTGATGCAGCAGTAATGTAACTTGATGAATCACTGGGCAACCAGAACTATACATGCCACAGTAGTCTCAGCCAACTGCAGCTTCTGAATGTTCTTCAAGGGCAGCCCCATGTACATAATGCAGTAATCTAATCAGGAAGTGATTAAGGCATGACTGTGAGCAAGCCTCCCAGTCCAGGAATGGTCACTACTGACACACAAGCAAAGTTGCCCAGCTATGGCTGCCACCAGCTCTTCCAACAGGAGGACTCTGAAACTGCATTATCTGTCCAGGAGACAATTCTGTCCAGGAGAATGTTACCCCCTCCAGAGTCAAAGATGTCAGCTCTCTTGATCCCAGGGGACCAAAACCCCACAACCATTCTCACTGGGTTGCATCCTGTTTCTCCCCATCCAGGCCCTTATAGCCTTCAGACCCTGAGAAGGAAGTTAAACAGCATCACTTGTCCCCCGTGAGGTAGAGATGCTTAATTTGGTATTGTCAGCACACTGATAATACTGAACCCCAGATAAAGCAGAATTTATCTTGAGCTAACAGAATGTGAAGAAAGAACTATAGAAACAAATGAATTCAATGCTTAGGAGACTATCTATTTCACAGCTATAATTCAATACTGGAGAATCATTCCCATGTTAAAAAAAGAAGCTGGGAATTAAATAGAAGAACGCCATCTATGATAAAACACTTGTGGAAGTGAATCAACCTAGTTAACAGGAGACATTTCTTTAGATACTTTCTGTGACAACTCTTAAAAGTCCAAATAAACACATTCTGAGCACTTGTAGATGATACATTCCCTTTTATTCTGAAAGCCACAACAATTCAGAATTGCTGGCAGAGTGGAGATTTGAATTGGGGCCTTTTATCCCCTTCATCTGTCTGCAATCTGGCCCTCCCTAGATTTTCTGTGGTCACACGAGACAAACTTTCAGCAACCATATTCACTGATTAAGTGACAGCTACCAGAGCTAAGCTGTAAACATCCAGATTAACACTAGATGAAAGCAAAGAGATACAGAAGATTCTATCCTTTTACTGCCTTCTAGTTACTGCCTTAACCTTTGCTGTCTGAATATAGCAGTCCTATTAAATAATAGCTGTATTATACAATTGGCAACCTACCCATAGTCAGCCAAACCCATAGTCAGCCTAATAATTTCTTAGGTAAGACTACAATTGGCTTGGAGAGTTCCATGGCGCCCTGTTAGGTAGTCTTCGACTTATGACCACAATTTAACCCAAAATTTCTGTTGCTGAGCAAGACAGTTAAGTGAATCACTGCATTTAAGTTAGTAACACAGTTGTTAAGTGAATCTGGCTTTCCCATTGACTTTGTCAAGTCGCAAAAGGGGATCACATGATCCTGGGACACTGTAACAGTCATAAATACATGCCAGTGGCCAAGCATCCAATTTTGATCATGTGACCACGGGGATGCTGCAACGGTCGTTAAGTGTGAAAAACGGTCACAAGTCACTTTTTTCAATGCTGTTGTAACTTTGAACAGTCACTAAATGAATATTGTAAGCGAGGTCTGCCTGTACATTACACTCATGATCATCACATGCATTTATACATTCATATAATGTATTTCATGTATACATTCATGTATATTACATAATGCATAATGTATTTCATATAAATATGCAGAGAGCCAGTTTAATCCAGTAATTAAGGCACCAGGTTAGAATTCAAGAGACTGTGAGTCCTACTCCCACTTTAGACATGACAACCGGCTGGGTGACTTTGAGCCAATCACTCTCTCTCAGCTCAACTCATTTCACAGGGTTGTTCTTGTGGGGAAAACAGGAGGGAGGAGTATTAGGTATGTTCATTGGCTTGAGTTATTTATAAAAAATAAAGGTGAGATATATGTATATAAGACTCTGCATGGGATGTACCATCTACAGATAGCTGAGGTGGCAGACATTGGGAAATCTTACCAATGGCTGGAAAGGGCTAAACTAAAAAAACAGCACAGAGGCACTAGTCATAGCAGCCCAAGAACAGTCAGTAAGCACCAGATCCAGTCAGAACCCAAGGTGCCTCAGAGACAGTCCAATACATAGTTGCAAGGTATAAGATGCAGACAGGAACAGCATACACTGAGTGGAAAAGTCATGAAGCTGGCATTGTGTACAGAAGCATCTGCAGTGCATGGGCTAGACCAGGGCTCTTGGCCAGCAGGTCTCAGAAATGCCTGGCTTGCATGCGCACGCATGGGTGCACATTCCCCCCCCCACTCACACTAATGCTGTGGACCCATTTGCGCTTGCACGCAGGCGCAAACGGGGACACTAGCATGGGACGGGTGTCCACAGCCCGTTCATGCATGCACCGCTAGCCTGGGTGGTTTGCACAGCCCATTTGCGCATATGTGAATGGGCCGCTAGCCACCATGGGGGAGTGCACGGCCATTTGCGCATGCGCACGGCACCAGTGCATGCCGCATGCATGAATGGGGTTGTTAGTGCTGCGCCAGTGTGAGTGGCCCTGTGCACACCAATTTTGAAGCTGCTGTCCTTCCCTCTGGTACGTGAGCCCAGAAAGGTTGGAGACCTCTGGGCTAGACTCTCCCAAGTCTAGATGGAAGATTCTACAAAAAGTTGTAGAAAATAACAGTGCTAAGATGCTGCAAGACTTCCAGATCCAGATGGACAAAAAGATACTGGTCAATCAACAGACATCATGGTAGTAGACAAGAAGCAGAAGGCACAAGATGGTGATAGATGTAGTGGTGCCAAGTAAAAGCAACATCAGGAAGAAGGTGTACAAGAAGCTAGAGAAGTACAAGTGCTGAAGAAGGAATTAGAGAGGATGTGGAAAATAAAGACCAAAGTGGTCCCAGCAGTGATGACAGCATTCAGGGCTGTCACTCCTAAGCTCCAACAAATCCTATGAACCCATCAAGGCTCTCCATCCAGAAGAGTGTTGTGCTAGAAACAGCTAAAATACTGCGCAGAACTCACAAACTCCTAGGGCTCTGTAAGAATCAATAGACTCAGGTTTTGTAAGATTTTTCACAAATATATAATTGCAGGTTGGTTACTGACTACTGCAATATGTTATGATGAAAATAAAGCATACATGAAAATAGTTTAGCAAATGGAGAAGAGCCTAATGCTGGGAAAGATTGAGGGCAATAGAAGAATGGGACGACAGAGAATGAGGTGGCTGGATGGAGTCACTGAAGCAGTAGGCGTGAGCTTAAATGGACTCCAGAAGATGGTAGAGGACAGGAAGGCCTAGAGGAACATTGTCAATGGGGTTGCGATGGGTCGGACACGACTTCGCAACTAAGAACAACCAAGCAAGGGTGTGTGATGTTATGTTGGTTGTTTAACATATTTATGATTAATATAGAAACAATACATGTGTCTTTTTACATATATATATTTGTCATTGCCGGCAATGGGGTGGACGTGGCTTCCACGTGACGTGTCCGGCCCGTGGGCCAGCAGTTTGACACCCTGCTATGGTTAGTTCAGAACCCAATGATCTCTGAACTAACCATACTGTATGATGCAATGAGGAGTGAAGAAATTTTTAAGACAGATGCTGACTGATAGGTGAGTATGTGCTAAGTATAAACAATGAATAACTTTGAAAGAAGTAAAACTAGAGGGGGACATGAAAATGTTTCATCAAATGGACATCAGCTTTGGGAAATTCAGGAGAAATATATAAGAGGTTGAATAGAGTGGGAATGGGGGACTTCAGCATGTGGGTGAAACAAAAGAGAGATTGGGTCAATATGGGAGCTGAACAAATGAAAAGTGTTCAGTATGAAAAAAATATGTTGAAGTGGTTTGGATATACAGAAAGAATAAACAAATGAGGTAATAGAAGGAGAAAATTGAGAAAGTCATGATTGGGGTGGATTTGATGAGATCTTGAAAAAGAGGAAGGTGAGAAATTTAGAGAAGACAGACAAACAAGTATGCAGACATTGTGGAAGCAAGAACAAGATAGAAAGATTCCAAAAGGCGTAATGCATGGCATTGGTGTAACAGACTTTTAACTATTTCACCTTCCTTCTCCTCACCTCAAATAACATAGTCTACCCGGAAAGAAAAGTTATATAAACAAAATCAGTGTTTTAACAGTCAAAACATTCCTTTGACAATATTGATTTCCATATCTACTCTTTTTTACATTTACACAACCCCTTCAGATGAGATTATTTCTCAAGAACTGGGCCCTAAGTTGTATCCTATGATTCCACACCCTCCTCTGATTTCTATTAAGTAAGAAAACCTAAGACCCTATGAAAGGAAATCATAAAATTATCCCAATGCATTTTTTTTTTTTAAAAAAAAATGTATAATCATAATCATGAAAATCTGAAAGGCTACCTTATTTGCAATTATGTAGCCAAAATGCTCCCAAAGAACTTCTATTTTTTATTTTTTTTAAAAAAAAATAAAGTTAAGAACAGTGCTCAACTTGGTTTAGAAAAGCCATAGAGTGGTGTTTCTCAGCCTTGGCAACTTTTAAGATGTGTGGACTTCAGTTCCCAGAATTTCCCAGCCAGCATTCCCAAGGAATTCTGAGAGTTGAAGTCCACACATCTTAAAAGTTGCCACGGTGGAGAGAGGCCTCACTCCACCAGATCTCGACAAACAGAAGCAGCCTCCACTGAACCAAAAGGCTTTCCTTCAAGGGGACGACAGACAATTTGGGAAGAAGGCCTGTGTAATTCAGCAGTTCTGTTTACTTCCGAGTAAACAACATAAGCCCACATCCATCCCAATCACGGAACAGCGTCCTCTGGCAAACTCAAGAATTCAGGGCCGGCCCGTCTTATTCACCTAATGTCCAAGCCGAGGCTTAATTCCTCTACTCCTCCTGTTTCCAGCAACGGCAGCGCTTACCTCTTCGGCATTCCCAGGTTTACAACAGCATCTCCATATATAAAAACACCTCCGCAACACTCATCTTCTTCCCGGAAGTCTCGCCTCGAACTGGGGGTGGAGAGAACACACGAGACAATCAATGCGTCTCCACCTCCCAGCCATTTCCCCAGAGACTCGTTCACTTCTCCATTTGCTTTTCACGGGGCCGGTTCTTACCTCCCTTCCTCTCCTCCGGGGAAACGTTTGGTTGCTGCAAACAAACACGCGCGCCCTCCCCGTCTCTGCACCTCTCGAGCTTCTCGCGCTTTCAAACACCGGCAGAAGCCAAAAGGCGCGTGACTGAGTCCGTACATTGGAGGGGAAGAGCAGCAGCCAATCCCTAAACAAGGTTCCGCCAGGTAACGCGCGATTGGTCATCGGGGCAACAGAGGGCAATCTCCACCTATATAAGCCCAGTGAAAGACAGTGACGAGGGAAAATAACTGTTATCTTCGTAGGTGGGCGTAATAGAGGGTCGCCTCTCTGCGTCGTACCAGTTCTCATTTTGATACTCAGCCTGGGGGAGAGGTTTTCTGAACTGCAATGCGAAAAAGTTCCGAAAGTGTATTTTGAAACGGGATTCTAAAAAACGGTCAACAAAATAAAATGCAAGGTTCCAATATTAAAGGGGCGCGCATCGAACTCTGGCCTGGCTGTGACTCACCGGTGTAAATATTTCGCGGATTTATTTGACAGTTGTGTAACACTATCCACCGTCGAATGTGATGGTGGAAAATAAATCCTAAGAATTAGCCGAAAAGGGATTGGAAATAAGACGATGTGTCTTATGACGCCTTTACATAACAGTGACTAAACCTCATATGAATATTGCCTTCAATTCTAGCCAATTTTCAGAGGAAAAAGTATCACAGAACTGGAAAAAAATGTAGAGCACTCTCAAAGTCAAAATACCTTCCCTGGAAGGAAGGAATGTAATCCTCAGCATGGAAGCAGTTTTTGTTAAATAAGACAAACCTATGATACTTTTAAGGATCACTTGTATGAATCAACCCCATTTTATCCAGTCAGATTCTCAATGGAAGTCAGTTCATTCATAGGTAAAGGTCTGATGATCAGTTTGAGTATTATATATTTAATTCCAACATTCCTTGTTTATGTATTCACATACTTACAATGATATAATGAAGGGTTGAAAAATCTACCTAATAGCTTTAACTTGGTTTTAATAACCACATAATATTAATCATTACTTTAAAAAAGTTCTGGAAAAGGCAATGTATTTTTTACAAACTATGATTTTTTTTATTTATGAATTATTATGATTAGCCCATATCAATCCACTGCAGAATGAAGGTCTTTTCTTCACCACCACACTAGTCCAATGTGACAGGTAGACGTGTTTTGACTTTCTGGTCCAGGGCTGCAAAAGAAGTGTGGTCCTAAGTCACACAGCAGGTTCTGTACCTTGTGGCTTCCGGAGCATAGGGTAGTAGTGTAATAGGCATATGTCATCAGTAAACCTGGTATAGCTCAGCCCTGTGTGGGGAACAAAGCCAGATTGCCCCTGGTATTACCTATGAACCATGCTACACATAAAGGAACATCAACAGCCAATTCAACTGGAATAAAAGGATGCTGAGCAGTCATGCAGAGAATATCCCAGCGACGACAGCACAGCCATTTGTTATGGACTGGAAGCAAAGAAAGAGGCAGCACAGCATCTGCATGAGGATATGAGGTCTACAATTCATGGCATGAATTGTATT